ATGCTAAGTTTTCGAAGTGTGAGTTCTGGTTAAGTTCAGTTGCTTTCTTGGGTCATGTGGTTTCAGCAGAGGGTATTCAGGTAGATCCAAAGAAGATAGAGGCAATCAAGAACTGGCCTCAACCCACATCAGCTACAGTGATCCGGAGTTTCTTGGGTTTGGCAGGCTATTTTCGTCGGTTCGTGGAGGGGTTTTCATCTATTGCAGCCCCAATGACCAGGCTGACCCAGAAGGGTGCCCAGTTTAGGTGTCGGATGAGTGCGAGGCGAGCTTCCAGAAGCTCAAGACATCTTTGACTAAGGCGCCAGTGTTGGTTTTGCCCATAAGTTCAGGCCCATATACAGTTTATTGTGATGCATCTCGTGTTGGGCTTGGTGCGGTGTTAATGCAGAATGGAAAGGTCATTGCTTATGCTTCACGTCAGTTTAAGATTCATGAGAAGAACTAACCAGTCCATGATTTGGAGTTAGCAGCCATTGTCCACGCACTGAAGATTTGCAGGCATTATCTGTATGGCGTGGCATGTGAGGTGTTCACGGACCACAAGAGTTTGCAATACTTGTTCAAGCAGAAGAAGCTAAATTTGAGGCAGAGAAGGTGGTTGGAGCTGTTAAAAGACTATGATGTCACCATCTTATATCATCCGGGAAAGGCCAATGTGGTGGTCGACGCTTTGAGTAGGAAGTCAGCCAGCATAGGCAGTCTTGCGTATATTCCGGTCGGTGAGAGACCGCTTGCTTTGGATGTCCAGGCTTTGGCCAATCAGTTCGTGAGGTTGGATGTTTCTGAGCCCAGCCGTATATTAGCTTGCACAGTTGCTCGCTCTTCTTTATTGGAGCGTATCCGAGATCGGTAGTACGATGATCCTCATTTGTGTGTCCTTAGAGACACAGTGCAGCACGGGGATGCCAAGCAGGTTACACTAGTAGATGATGGAATTTGAAGGATGCAGGGTCGTATTTGTGTGCCAAATGTGGATGGACTTCGAAAATTGATTCTAGAGGAGGCCCATAGTTCCCGGTACTCTATTCATCCGGGCGCCACCAAGATGTATCGGGATTTGCGGCAGACTTATTGGTGGATGAGAATGAAGAAGGACATCGTTGCATATGTGGCTCGGTGTTTGAATTGTCAGCAGGTTAAGTACGAGCATCAAAGACCTGGTGGTCTGTTCCAGAAGATTGAGATTCCTGAGTGGAAGTGGGAGCAGATCACTATGGACATCGTTAGTGGACTCCCACGGACTCGGAGGAAGTTCGATGCAGTGTGGGTTATTGTTGATAGGCTGACCAAGTCAGTGCATTTCATTCCTGTGGCAGTCTCCTATTCTTCCGAGAGGTTAGCGGAGATCTATATCCAGGAGATTGTTCGTCTTCATGGTGTGCCCATGTCTATCACCTCGGACCGAGGGACGTAGTTTACCTCACATTTCTGGAGAGCAGTTCAGCGAGAGTTGGGCACACGGGTTGAGTTGAGCACAACGTTTCATCCTCAGACGGATGGGCAGTCCGAGCAAACTATTTAGATTTTGGAGGATATGCTCCGAGCTTGTGTCATTGACTTTGGAGGCTCGTGGGATCAGTTCTTGCCTTTAGCAGAGTTTTCCTACAACAACAGCTACCAGTCGAGTATTCAGATGGCTCCTTATGAGGCTCTATATGGTAGGCGGTGTCGGTCTCCGATTGGATAGTTTGAGCCAGGAGAGGCTCGGTTGTTGGGTACGGATCTAGTACAGGATGCCTTGGACAAGGTCAGGATCATTCAGGATAGGCTTTGTACAGCTCAGTCCAGGCAAAAGAGTTATGCCGACCGTAAGGTTCGTGATTTGGCATTTATGGCCGGTGAATGGGTATTGCTTCGGGTGTCGCCTATGAAGGGCGTGATGAGATTTGGAAAGAAGGGCAAGCTTAGCCGTAGGTTCATTGTCCCGTTTGAGATTCTTGATCGAGTGGGAGAGGTGGCTTACAGACTTGCGTTGCCGCCGAGCTTATCAGCCGTGCACCCAGTGTTTCACGTGTCCATGCTTCGGAAGTATCACGGCGATCCATCCCAAGGCCTAGAAACCTCCTTTTTACCTCACCTCGATTTGCATGCACAGTCCGAGCGCGTATCCGGAAAGCCATTATATAAAAATCTGTGAAAATTAATGAATTTTACCTTTAAAATAAATTTAAATTGACTTCGGTCAACACTTTGAGAAAACGGACCCGGATGCGTGTTCCGACGATCCTGGGAGGTCCGTAAAAAAATATGGGACTTGGGCGTATGCCCGGAATCGAATTCCGAGGTCCCTAGCCCGAGAAATGAATTTTTAAAGAAAATTGTTTTCTAAAAAATACATGAGTTTTTGAAAATGAAATGTGTTTGAAGTTTGATGGTATCGGGCCCGTATCTTGGTTCCGGAGCCCGGTACAGGTCTTATATGCGAAGTTGAGTCTATGAAGTTTTGTAAGCAACGGACTTGAAATGACGTGAATCGGACCTTATTTGAGAAAATTAGAAAAACATTTGATGTTCTCAAGTGATTTCATGATTTCGAAACTAAATTCATAGTTGTTGATGTTATTTTGGTGATTTGAATGCACGAACGAGTCCGTATGATGTTTTTGGACTTGCGTGCATGTTTGGTTTGGAGCCCCGAGGGCTCGGGTAAGTTTTTTATAGGCCACGGAGTGAAACTTGGACTGAAGGTGTTGCAGATTTGAACTGGTGAGTTGCAGGCCTGCAGGCTGGTTCGCAAATGCGAGTTCGGAAATGCGAAGGCTATGTCGCAAATGCGAAATAGCCCAGGCCAGCACTTTCTCGCAAATGCGATGCCCCCTGTTGTGGCCAGTCGTCGCAACTACGACATCAGACCTGTAAATCTACACTTAGACGCATTTTCAGCCATTTTTCATATCTTCTCAAAACATAAACTCTCTTGGGCGATTTTCCAAAGAAAACTTCTTCTCCAAATCAATTGTAAGTCGTTTCTAACTAGTTTTCTTCAATCCTTAACATCTTTTCACATGATTTCAACTCAAAATCAGTGATTTTCAGGGGGGAAATTGGGTGTTTTGGGTAGAACCTAGGTTTTTCAAATTTTGGAGATTTGGACCTCGATTTGAGGTCCGATTTCAAAACAAATTATATATTTGAGTTCGTAAGTGAATGGGTAGTCGGATTTTGGTTCGAACCTCGGGTTTTGACAATGTGGGACCGGGGTCGATTTTTGACTTTTTGAGAAAAACTTTAGAAAATTTATTTCCATGCATTAGAATTGATTTATTTAGCATTTATTGATATAACTAAGTAACTTGTGGCTAGATACGAGCGAATTGGTGGTGGAATCAAGAGGTAAAGTGATAGTTGAGGCTTGAACTGTGTTCGAGGCATCGAGGTAAGTGTTTGGTCTAACCTTAGCTTGAGGGATTAGGAGTTGTGTCCTATTTGCTACGTGTTATTTGTTGAGTACGACGTATAGGCATGCTGACGAGTATCTATACGTTGGTGTCAAGCATGCCCGTGAGTCTTATGATGTGATTAATGTGACTCCGTTTGTAGTGTTCATGTTTAATGTGGTGGTTGCTATTGCTGAGCAAGGTTTGTGAAAAGAATATTGGCATTTTTATATTGAAGAGCGTTGGCTCAGGTTGTAAAGTGAATTGTGGAAGTATAATTGGCAATTGAATCTTATAGAGCATTGGCTCAAATTGTGAACCAAGCTGTGAAGTAAATGTGAAAATGAGAGAAAGATTATGGTATTGATGCTTTGCCGGGACGTTGTTTTTTTTTATAATATTGTTCCTTTGCCGGGATTTTATTATGATTCATTTATTCCTTGCCCTTATTGTTTGTGTTTGTTGTTTGGGTGAGGAAGAGTGTAAAGCACGAAGGGTGATGCCGTGCATTGTTTTGGTGAGAGAGTGTTAAAGCACAAAGGGTGATGCCGTGTATTATTTTGTGAGGAAGAGTGTAAAGCACGAAGGGTGATGCCGTGCCGCACGATGTACCATTGCGTGACGATTATATTGATTTTATGGTGAGGATGAGAGTAAAAGCACGAAGGGTGATGCCGTGCACTTGTTTGATTTCTGATTCTTGTTGATAATTGAATTGTGGTGTTCCATATATTTAACTGCTGTCCTCCTGTTGCCATTTGGTATTTCCCCGCAGCATGTTTCCCCCTCCCATCCTTGACTTTATATCTCTGCCTTTATTTTTCCGCTGTACATTATTTATCTGCACAGGTTTATTTGGTAGTCTAGTCCTAGCCTCGTCACTACTTCGCCGAGGTTAGGCTAGGCACTTACCAACACATGGGGTCGGTTGTGCTGATACTACACTCTGCACTCTTTTGTGCAGATCCCAGTGCTGCAGATTTCGGACCGCAGTGAGATTTTCCGTTCCTTGTTCATCAGGCGACCCAAGGTAGTCCTGCGACGCCGTAGGCCTTGGCGTCTCCCTCTATCTATTTTCCTGTTTCTTTTATGTAATCCCAGAGACAGTATTTTGTTATTTCTTTCAGACCCTTATTTGTAGTACTCTTAGACAGCCTGTGAAGTGTGACACCAATCTTGGGTAGTTTTGTTATGGAATGGTATTAGTAGTATTATTAAACTTGAAATCAAATTTTCCGCTTGTTAAATTTTGTTGATTATTAACTGTTGGCTTATAACTGTTAACGAATTTAAAAATGGAAACAAGGCAAATAATTCAGTTGATTGGCTTGCCTAGCTTTCACTAGTAGGCGCCATCACCACTCCCGAGGGTGGGAAATCCGGATCGTGACACTAGAGGAATATTCTATGGTATAGATTTCGTAAAGAATTTGTATCTGTTGTAACATGTTGGGTTGTAACATGTTGTACCAGGTAATCTGTCTTATTTTCTATGTAAATAATAACACCTTCTAATGGACTGACTACCTATAGTAATAATTAAGATGACGGATCTTTTGCACTATTAGTGTATAAAAGTTGAACTGGAAAACGCAATTTGGCGAGACTAAAGAAACCAACCTGTCTTTTGTCTGCCGAACTATGCTTCTGATGGTTCTGCGATCGCACAGCTGGCCTCTCGGTAGAATGAGATTGTGGAGAATCAGCCTGTGGAACCATCATCATTGGCGGAGCAGCAGCAGCAGCAGGCCAATAAACCCAATTTCCTGGACTGTTACCTGTATCTGTTGCACCATTCTCTCCATCCATCGTCACACTTTGGTCATTACATTGTCTTTTATTCTGAACTTGATGGCGATAATGGTGCAACGGTAATCGTCTCTGTCTAGCCATTCTGTTCTTCCTAGCCTCTTTAGATCCCAACCTTGCCAATCTCTCACCATTCCCATCTAAAAGCTGGTACGGATATTGCGTACCAAATAAAGACTGAGGCTGATCAACAGAAGCAACATTGTCAGTACTATCATTATTATCAGGAAATTTGTTATACTGAGAAGCGGCCGTCATTGCAAATTGCGATGGCAACCACGATTGAGTATAGTCCATGGGTTGATATTCTGTTGAAGCCGGTGAACTTGCTCTTCCACTCATTGTCTGATTAAACGGAGACACAAATAACGATCCGTTAGTGTAAAGATCACCAATGTACCCCGGTATCTGCCCCGCCATTACAGAGGCCGAATCGGGGAAATTAGGGATGTTATAAGCAGCAGTTGCCATCCAAGGTGACGGATAAAAGCGAGCCTTTGGGTCAATTCCAACTGTATTATAATGGAAATTGTAGTTAGAGGCAGAATTCTGGAAACTTTCTTGATTTGGTGCAGCTTCACTCATTTGTTTCTTTTGCAATCTGTGTTGTTCAACCCAATCAAGAATCAGTCTCAACAACTGTTTTTTACCTTCTTTTGTACTTCCTAATTGTTTCGAAGCGCTTTCAATTGTTGAACGTTTGAGCTTAATACTCCTCATATCTTCAGCAGAAATGTTGTCTTTGTTTTGCTTTAGCCATTCAAAAAACATAAGTGCAAGCTCACTATCCCCTTGAAATATAGAATGTTGCTCATTTTCAAACTGCACTTCCCCTTGTTGTTGGTGGTGGTTTTGTTGGTTTTTTTGTGGATTTTCACCTTGGAAAAAAGGGGTCATAGGATCAAGAAAATCACGATTTCCATCAATTAAATCCATATAACCAAGATTTTCTATCACATTTAAACAAACTTGGTTGTCAATTGTGTTATCAAATTGGATTTTCTTGTGGAAATGATCTTCTTCAGCTTGAGCAGAAGATGAAGAATCTGTAGGAGGGGAATTAGAAGTTGAGGAGGAAGATGACATGCATGGAAAATCAGGAAGAGGAGGAAAATCAGTAGAGAAATTAATGTAATTATTGTCATTAACATTAAAATGATGTTGTTCTTCATTTCCATTATTGAGCCAAATATTTGTATCATCCATAGGATTAAAATCAGTAGGCGGCTGCTGCTGCTGTTGTTGGCTTTGAATATCATCAACTACTGTCACCATATTAATATTCTCAAATCCATGCATTTCTTGATTATTATTATAACCATAAAGCTGCTGTAACTCTCTTTTCATTCTTGTTTTCTGGATTTTTAAAAGAGAAAAACGGTGTTATTTAATTTCTCTGGTTTTTGCAACATAAACTATCTGAGGTTTTGGAATTTATATATCCAAAAAAATAAGTAGTACTACCAAATCTGAAGAAAGCGACTCTTAATTACTACACTTTAACTAATTAAAATACTCACTCTTACTGTATAATGTAAGTACCTGTATATACATATATATTATGCAGGAATATTCTTTACAAATGGATGATAAAAACAAGAAAATTCAAAGAACTAAACTATGTATCCTTGTGTTTTAAAAGACAAAAACACCACCAAACTTCAACAAACTGAAATTGTCTCATACGCCACATAACCAAAACAACACTTGTAGACAGTTCAGATAAGTTTCAACACTCTTTTACTATTTTCTGTTTTTATTTAAAGGGGGTTTGAACCAAAAATAAGACGGAAAAACTTTGAAAGAGAGAGAGAGAGAGATAAACAGAGGTTATAAAAACTTTTTAAATGAGAGGGGAGAGGAAACCACCAAAAAAAACTTGGTGCCGATAGTTTTTCTTTTTCCACTTAATTAAAATTTCCAGATTTTACGCCATAAGGCCATACGTTATAACCTGAATGGTGCAAGCCAGCGGTCAAATTTTTATATTACAAAAAATGAGATGAAAAAAGACTCAATGTTACATCCTCCATTGATGACACAAGCAGCTCAATTCTCTTTCTAATACAACACATCAGAACATGGTCTAAAAATATTAAAACTAATTGAACCGACTGGGAAATAGTAATGTGAAAAGAAGTAAAGAACAGATCTTTCTTTGCTCATAGGGTTTGTCTCCATTCGTGAGTGAAACGGTGGACTTCTTCTTTTGCTGCTACGTGTCTCTTCCCTTCTGACCAAGCTATATTAACATTCACGTATAAAAACAAGTATTTAACTTATAATGGTGTAAAATATCAGTTATGATTATATATTAGGGTGTTCGTCGGTCGGTACGGTACGGTATTTAGATTCGATTCATAAAATGCTTACCAATATCGTACCTAATTAAATTCGGTATGGTTCGATTTTTCTCCTTTCGATTTCGATTTATTCGGTTTGATAACTTCGATTTATTATGTTTGAATACTAACTAGTGCATAGAGTCATAGACCGTAATATACCTAAGTAAAGTACTCAAAAGTAAAAAACTAAAAACGTTTGTTGACAAAAGTTTTGTCCAAAACTAACATATACCAACCTAGAGAGAGAAAACTTAGAGAAATGGCTTGTTACTTGCATAGAGTTAATTGATGAGCTTAGAGAATAGAAGAAAGTAAAATTTTAGATTTTTTATACTTATGTTATAATTAATACAATGTGTATTATGTAATATAATATATATTTCGGTATTGTATTGATATTACGGTATTTCATTTTAAAATACCAAATACCATACCTAGTACCAATTTTTTTTAAAACTTAAACGAAGTACCATACCGAATATCAAAATATTGAATACCGAATACCAAAATTTTCTGTTTCGATACGGTAATTCGGTATTTACCAAATTATGCACAACCCTATTATACATACTGAGTTAATATTATCCATGGTCATTGAACTTTTGTGTTTGTTACCCAAAAGTCACTTTTTTTTTTTTGTTACGTAAAAATCATTCAACTTTGTGTTCATTACACAAAAGTCACTTTTCTTTCTTTTGTTACACAAAAATTATTTTATTTTGCTCTAGTTATCACAAAAGTCACATTTTTACTTGAAAAGTCTATTATGCCCTTGATATTATATAAACCTTCATATTTATGTAATACCTTCTATATTATATACTATATAATATATTTTAACTATGCATTTTATTTATAAATAAAATAACTTAATATTATTTTATTTATTATTTGATAATAGGCTAGATCTAGGTAATTTGGCGATTGTTTATGCTCCCGCTTGATTATGTTCCAATGTCATAATATGGTTAAAATGATGAAAAATGGGCTCTAATTGTGAATTTTACACATTGCAGGACGAGCAACCTATGTGATGCCTTAAAGTTGAGATTGGAGCTACTTTGGAGCAAGAAATACCCCTTGGGGCTGAGTGTGCGCGAAGACTAGACAAAAAAATCGAGGAAATAAAGGCCCGGACTAGCGCGAGCAGTAGCGCGATCGCGCTAGTCCGGATGCGGGAGGCAAAATGTCAGTCAACTAGCTCTAGCGCGAGCAGTAGCGCGTTCGCGCTAGTCCCAGTTCCGGAAAAGACTTGTCAAGTGTAAAATTGGAAGTCTGGAGGAAATTTCACTTAACCTATATAAACTCAAGCTCGCCCAAGGATTATGTATCGAGGTTTTCATAGTTTAGTGNTGATTAACAGTCGTCTTATTCCGTCCAAAAACACTATGGAGGTAAATGGACCCCGAGCTGCTTTGATTTGGTGTTTCATCAGGGGTCTTAACTTCGATGTAGCCAAAGTGATGCACGACGAAATGTTCGTTCACTGCCCAATGAGAAGGTATGGGTTCTTTTTCCCCTCTTTAGTGACTCAGCTTTGCAGGCAAGCTCGGGTGCCCGAAAATCTCCGTGTGGAAGGGCCAGCACGAATAGGCCACAAAGTCCGGCCCGACAAGGTCACCACGGGTAAGGAGCCAGCGGCATCAGGTGGAGCGGATGAGAGTGGCTCTGATGACTCGGAGGAAGGGGTGGCCGATCAAGTGAATGTGGGGGGCGAAACACAGGCCCATGAGCCCAGTCCAGCTGCTGCAGCACCGTCCGGAGCAGCATCATCTTCAGGAACTGCTAGAGTGTCCCGTTTCACCGTGTTGGAGCAGGAGGTGGCCGGGTTACGCTCCTCCGTGACTGAGTTGGGAACTCGTGTAGACGCAGTGGCTGCCCAGCAGACGAAGTCTGAGAAGAAATTTTTGGGCTGGCTGAGAGCCTTGGGTCGTGCATTCAATGTGAACCCCGACACCGTCTCCGACCAGGAGTGAGCCTTCAGGGAAGTTCCTTTACCTCACTATTCCTTCAATTCTTAAGCCGTGGGGACATGTCTTCATTTTAAGTGTGGGGTGGGGGATACTTCATTGTATGTATGTAGTTGTATCAATTGTATGTTTGTGTTGTTTTGTTTTATTTAGCTTTGATAGTTTTGGTGATTGAGTAAGAATTCATTAGTTTAAAATAGGTAAATGGCTTGTCCCGACGACGGATCTCTTTCGACGGGGTTCTTGAGGGACTAAGTCGCGAAAAAAAAATGGAAAATATGAAGACTCTTCCTGATGACGGATCCTTTGGACAATTTTCTTGAGGGAAGTTAGTCTAGAAAAATACCAAAAAGATTTTTTTTATTTTTTTTTATTTTTAGGTAGTGTAGTAACTCCCCCTTGGTTTTTCTTTGGGCCACGGTTCTTTTCCAAGGGTTTAGCTTGAACCGGGTATAGGTAGTTTTTTTTTGTTTTGTTTTCTTTTTGATTTGTAGATTAGGTTTAATGGGCTACGAGCTAGAGAATCAAAAGAGAACCTATAGCGTTGACACACCTGAACACAACAGACACTAGAGTGTAATGCTTAGTCTTATTGGTTGAATTTCACTAAAGTGCCTTAATTTCTATGTTTGTCACTGACTTGAATGCTCATAATGGAGTGTCTCGATGAGTTAATCTGGAATGAGTCATATGCCATGTGTGGTGAGGTTTTTGTGTAGTCCATGTATTGTACTTGTGTCTAGAACTTGCCCGGTTTGTGAGTCGAAGCGAAATTTTAGGTGATGCTCGGTTTGAAAAATGATTTTAGGCTTCCTTTGATCTTTTTGAGCTTAATTGCTTACCACAAATAAAATTTATCCCTAGTCAACCCTTTTGAGCCTATAGACTTTTATTTGGCACCCACATTGCAAGCCTATATCCTTTTTATTCTTAATTGACATTGTTTTGATCCCTTTTCCTCTTAAAGCACTTTAATTGTGAGATGAGCACTAAAAGAAGTAAGAAGGAACTAAGAGTGGGGTGGCTTTTGAGTGGAGCCAATAAAAGGAAGAAAGGAGCACTTATTTTTTTTTAAATAATACACTGTTGGCCCAAGTTCAGGTGAAGTTTTGAAGAATGCCAAATGCACTCAGTCATGGAACAAGTCCATCCTGTGAGACACAGTGTTTATCAACCTATGCATGTGAGATGCACGTGAAGGAGATAAGTCTCAAGGATAAAGCAGCAATATCTCCTGAACTGATCGAAAAGGTTGCATATTGGATGAGGAATGAAAGTATCCTCATGGGAAGAGGACACAATCCGGTTAAAGGATAGGGTTGGAGTTTGTATTGTTCAAGGACTCAACTTCGATGAAAGATCAGCAATTGAGTCTCAATCAAACTCTGATTACTAACTCATTAAATAACAGTAATTGTTCTCTTTTACAGGGATTGCACAAACGCAGAAGTGAAACTAAATTGAGAGCAAAAGAGCGAGGCAATTTTGCAAGCAATTTATGTGAGATTCAAGTGTGCATTCCTGAAGCTACTTGGACAAGATAGAAGAACCTATTCCATTGTGTCTTTCTTTTATTCTAGTTCAATTGTAGTAGGTGTTTTAAAGTTGTACCTTTCCAGCTTCCATAGAAGTAATTGTATTAGGTACTTTGAGTATTCAAGTTAGAGTTAACTTGAAAGTGCGCAACAGTTGAGGCTGTGTGCCACACTGGGATTAGAGTTTAATCCTTAGGTTTACAAGAGTTTTGTAAATGCTGTTTTGGCTCAGTGATTTTAGTGGAAGTTTGGGAAAATCCTACTGAGTAGTAGGTCGTGGTTTTTTTACCTTTTGAGCCAGGTGTTTTCCACGTAAAAATCTCTGTGTTCTTTATTTTATGCACTCTTAATTCCGCAAACAGTAGTAGTAAGTACACCTAGAAGAACCAGGTTCTTCTAGAGCGAAAATTGGGTACCACACAAATCAACCCCCCTCTCGTGTGGTATTGACGTTTAGAACATCATACACCACTAGCGGAAATTAAAAAAAAAGAAATATATAGAGATGAATAAATTGTTGTTTTGTTCCTGCTAGTGGGTATGAATTAATGTAGTGCTTAATGAAGAAGGGAGCATTTTTGGGGTTATATTGTTTGTGAAAGTGAAGTGGATTGAAGAATTTGCGCTTGAAGTTGATTATGTGGTGTGTTAAAGTGCTTAGGAGGGTTAGTCACTATTCCTAAATATATCCTACCCGTCCCTTAGTCCACATTACAACCATGAAAAAGACCTAATTAATTTTAGATCGAGCGAGCCTACATTAGTAGAGATTTACATTAAGGGCAAGCTTATGGTACCAATTACATGCATGTGACTTCTTTTGTGAGAGTGAGCGATTTTCTTTGATATATGTGAGCATGAGATTCGAATGTATGAATTGATTTTACTCTCTTTGCTGTGATTGTGAGGGGTGATTCGTGAAGGAAAAACAAGTCTTGACTCTATGTAGAGTACTTTGAGGAAGTGTGAATATTGCTTGGCACTTGAG